AAACCCCTAAACCCCTAACCCCAACACCCCTAAACCCTAGAGCCCTAAACCCTAAATAAACCCTAAAACCCCTAAACCCCTAACCCCTACACCCCTAAACCCTAAAGCCCTAAACCCTAAATAAACCCTAAAACCCCTAAACCCCTAACCCCTACACCCCTAAACCCTAAAGCCCTAAACCCTAAATACACTTTATAGGGGTTGTGAAAACCCTAAAGCCCTAAACCCTAAATAAACCCTATAGGGGCTGTGAAACACGAACCCGAGGTCTCAGGAGGGCTGGGACTAACTCCCTTTCTCGCTGCAGCCGGCCACGAGTGTCTCAGCCAAGGAAGCTTTGAGGGGCTTTTAGGGGGGATGAGGGTTTAGGGATAAGGGTTCAAGGTTTAGGGTTTAGGGTTCAGGGTTTAGGTTGGGTACTGCCCCCCCCCATACAGTAACAGTCCATACTAGGGCTACCAATAATTAGGGCTATATATATATATATATCTATATATATATATACATATATATATATATATCCCATATTATGACTATGACTCAACTGTTACTGAGTGGGGGCAGTATCCAAGGTTCAGGGTTACTAGCTATCTGCTTCGGGATAGTTATACTTATACGTTTCTTGTTGGTGGTGTTTTATGAGACCTGTGCACTTTCCTTGTTGGTTTAATGTAGAATCCTAACTCGAAGTGGGTTTTGAGGGCCGTTGAAACCGACAGTTTCTTCGGGCGTTGGGGCTTTGCGGCTGTTTGGGGCTTCAGGTGTTCTGGGTTCACCTACACGGCTTCCTTTCTACGTTCCTAGGAGTCCGGAGGGCTGGCCGGGTCGAGGTCTTTCAGCCTGGGAGCTGGAATTTGGTCTGTGGGCAGTTCTCTAAGTGAGGGTTTTTTTGCGGAGCCCTTTTTCATTATAAGGATGCCGTACTATTACTATAGTGGGGACCTAGAAAGGGAACCCTGATTTGGAGAACTACCCCGATGCTTCCGGGTGTTTTGGTCCACGGTGTTAGTGTTTTCTTCGGAGGTGAGGGGAATCGCAGGAGTTGAGGATGGTATGTAGGTGCTCATGCAAGTGTTGCTAGCTGTGTACACCTCAAGGCAGCGAAGAACCGGAAGCACATGCTGGAGAGATTGTCAATATCGCCCTACCCAGGAAGATGTGGTGGAAGCAATGCTGGCAAAATCTTACCCTAAACCCTAAGCCCTAAAACCCTAAACCCCTAAACTCCTAAACTCCTAAACCCTAAACCCTACATCTCCCGAACCCGATGTGCAGCCTGACTGGTAACGTGAGGACCCTAACTCGGAAGCAGAGTCCAAAGTAGGTGATAGGTAAGCCGGAAGCACCGCGCCCCATTCTTTTAGGGTTTAGGGTTAGGGTTTCCACGAATTGAAATTACAATCCCTTCAACCTTCAGAGAAATCCTATTTTTTGTCAGCAGAACAAACCCCCGAAGCCTGCGTTGCTGCACCAAAGGTTCGTCGTCACATCGTCCAAAGATGGCCCAGACTCAGTCTTCGAAAGAGAGCTTCCTGATGCTGACGTGGCAAGCTGGCTCTTCAGAGCTTCGAGATCCTTGTGATATAGAAGCCTTGATACTTACCAACAACATTTCCTGGGTTCTTGTTAAGGGATTTTATCTAAGTTACCATAATGCAGATCTATAGTAGATAATATGGTTTCCTTATTATGGTAACTTAAAATGAGCCCCTTAAAGAGTCCAGCATTTCGCAGGGCTCCCTTTTCTAACTGTAGTCTATAATATCCCCCGAAGCGCAATCCAATTATTCAAACTCCCATACCAGGCTGATCGCGTTGATAGTAAATTGCATGGGGCATAATGGCAACTCTGCCCACAGCACTATTTCGTAGCTAATTCTGGCTTCAAGGCTAGAGGAGATGTCGGGTTAATCACTACTACGTCAGTCACCAGTAGCAGTAGTAGTACTTGTACCGTAGTACCAGCAGCAGTGGCAGTAGTAGTCGTCGTAGTCGCCGTCGCGGTCGTCCCTGACACGGTACGCTAAAAGCAGTAGGAAGTTGTAAGTTCAATGTGAAGAGAAAGAGACCAGCAATATCCGCCTCCGATGACACTGAATATCGAAGCATGGGATCTCAAATACGGTGGCTTTTTTGGGGGACTTATATTGTTTTTGTTTGGGTTTTATATACGTTTCATACAGGTGCCACAGGGTTGTACACGGGTGTTATACGATTTGCCCGGGTGCGGAAGGGTTGGATACGGGTAAATCCAGGTGTGTAAGGATGTTATAGGTTTTTGTTGGGAGTTATCTGGGGGGCTTCAGAATGGTTTACGTGGTACGCAGTTCGCTCGAGCGCTAAGTCCCGGAGCCCAAAAGAACCTGAAACCTGAACCCCAACCTAAACCTGAAACCCTGCATCATGATAAACACTACTGACACCTTCAACCTTTTACTCTAAGCCCTATAATCCTTAATCCCTTAAATCCCAAACTGTATACCTCCGACCCTAAGCAAAATCCCAGAGAGGCCAACTACAAGGGTTGCCACCATAATCTCAATAGTAGAGCAGGTAACCTTTAACCTTTTGGGTGTATCACAACCCTTACATAATCAAAAAGGCCCCTAGAATACTGGACAAGCAAGTAATTTTGAGGGTTGTTACCTACAAGAAGGGGTGATCTTGGGCTGAGGGCAGTAACATTGGCAAGTTGCCGAAGCGCTGCAAGACAGATGCCTCAAAGCTTGGGTGGGGGGGGGGGTGGGGGGGTTATGCTAGGGAGCCCTGTGCAATACCATGTCTATCTCTTCAGGGCCCTATACCCTAATTCCGTAGACCCCTAAACCCGAAACCCTAAACCCCCCGAAGCCAATCCTCAAGTCTGAGCCCTAGTCTGCCACACTGAGGTAATCTCACAGCCCTTCTGGCCTGCGTACATGAGCGCCGAGCGCTTCGAGAAGGCTGCTTCCTACCCAAAGGGTCCTAGGTACTGTTATAGGGAATACTTCCCTAAATCATAATAGTAGTTCCTAATATAGAAACCCTACATACCATATAGGTACTTAGGACCCTTTGGGCTAGATCCGACACCGCAAGAACCCAAAAGCATGAGACCTGTCGCTTTTTGATGTTGTTGTTACTACTACTATGAATATTCGTACTGTTGTAATGATTATGATTATCATGATCATGCTTGTCATTGGTAGTGCTATAATTATGATTATTATTAGGTTTTGGGCGTGGTGTTTACTAAAACAGAGCTGACGGTTTCGTAAGGAGGCCATAACTGCTGTTATGAGTTCCCTAATCGAGGTTATCTTAGTTGCACTTCTGTATCCTACGTACTAAGTCCCCTGAGCTTCTCAGTGGCCCTTTTTTACATGTAGTAGTGAACTACACCACAAAAGCTTTTCCAGAAAGAAAGGCTCCTGTATGTGGCTGAGACAGTTTCAATCCCAGGTCCACTATTCCTGCCGTGTTGCATTGAAGTCCAAATCAGTAAATTCAATAAGTTTAGCATAGGGTTCCTTCAATGGTTCCTAAATTTTAAGACTTGAAAGAGTCCTCTACGCGCGCTTTGGAAATTTAGGATATACAGGCGGCCTTAGTAATTAGAATGTTTGATTATGCTAAAGTATATAGGGACTGCAATGGAATACCAAAACTAGTTATTCATACCTCTATATTAAGACCCTCACAGACCCAATACCCTTCAGTGCAAGAATATGCCTCACATCACAAGTTTCAGCTCCGCATAATGTTAAAGTATACCATCTTCTTCAATAGGAGGCATCCAGCAAGGTGTTAACGGAGACGCCTGCTTATAACACTCCTTGCTACGCTGGTGCGTTTAGAGGGCCTAGGGCTGTTGGGGTCTAGGGTATTTGGGTTTCAGGGTGTATAGTATTTAGGGGCCGCAGCAACTTAACGTCAGGACCCGCATATTAGTTGCGATTATTGAGAAGAGTGGTTTGCTGATCGTGGGCCCACATTACAATTCTAACTCTGAAAGCCTAGTCGCACACGCAGACCTCAACGCAAAACCACTCAAAGCCTGCCCAGCTCCAGCCGGTTTTGGGGGTGGGGTGGGTTGGAATTTGGGTTCAAGGTGCTGAGGGGTTTTAGGGTTTAGGGTTTAGGGTTTAGGGTGGGTTGGAATTTGGGTTCAAGGCGCCTGTTTTTTTTTTTTTAAGGCTTTTGGAGATTATTGAGGTTGACCTCGAGCTTGATGTTTGTTTGGCATTGTTGGGCTTGGTCGCTACCCATAGGCCCCTAAGTAGTTCCTTTTTGCGATTACCTTGTGGAATTTTTTCTACCACAAAAAGGAACTACTTAGGGGCCTATGGGTAGTCGCTAGATTCTGTAGATCTGAACCCGGGAACCCTGAGGTGGCTCCATAACTCTCAAACTCATTTTGGCGAAGACTTCCAGGATCCACAACTGGTTATCTTAGGGTTTAGGGTTTAGGGGTTTAGGGTTTGGGGGTTTAGGGTTTGGGGGTTTAGGGATCAGGGTTTAGGCTTTAGGGTCTTAAACTAACACAACCTATTGTTTTGTCGGGTCTTACTGTAAACCTTAATGCCGAATCTGCACGGACCCTACAAAAGAAGGAGGCAGTATGTTACAGAGTGGGGGACAGTACCCAACCTAATCCGTAATTTCATTCAAGACTTAGTCCCGCATTCCGTCAAGCAGGAACTAGGGTTGGCAGAGCCTCAAGCACCCTTCCAACCCCGTTTGGAAAGCTTTCTGACTATGGATCCTCAACAACTATAGAGCAAAACAGAGTTACCTTTCGTCCAATATCATCATATCATTCATCAGATGATAGCATCTAGTGTAAGATGCCTCCCCAAGTAGCAGAGTTCTGGAAGGCCAAGAAGTTGAAGCTCTGCATCACCGCCGGCACCTTTTATGTTCAAGCTTCAGGGCTCTGAGGGCTTGGGAGTTAGTCTTCGTAGCTGATTTACTACACTTTAAACTTTTTGGAATAATATGACCCCTTGTAGAACTGAAAGTGTACACTGTTTGTGCTTTGTGAACTCAGCAACTAAGTAGTGGCTTGGGATTTAAAGCTGAAGGGTTGTTAGGGGAGCTCTTTTCCGGGTGCAAAGGCCATGGCTTGAAAGTTTGGGGTTCGGGTAATTAGCCTTGGGGAGCAGGATTTGGGTTTTTGCGTTCGTGGGGTTTAAGGTTTAGGGTTTAGGGTTTTGAGGGTAACTTCCTAGCTCCACGTTTGCCTCTGGTGATGCAGGCGCCCTTGGGCACTTCAGGATGAGACGCAACAACGAAATCACCGATATGCTAAACTCTATCCCCACAGCGAGCCCTCAAAGCCGCAAAGCAGAAAGAGACCCCAAAGTACGCCAAAGCCCCTTAATTGGAAATACTAGCGCGTTACCCTGAAAGGACTCATAGTTTAAGGCATCTGGGCCCAAAGACTCTATTAGATAAGGCTTTTGGGCTATTTTGATGTTTAGGGTAATGGAACCATCAGGACTCGCTCTATAGTCCAAGGAATACCAGTGACGCCAATGATGATACCCGAAGCCAAGCCAGCTGCAACCAAACGAGTGAGCACCCTCCGCAAAGCCGACCTCTCCTGAACGTTAAGCCCGGCTGCACCCAAATATGTACTACTGTTGATGATGTAAGTCCTGCATTACCTTGTAAGGACCCTAAACTATGGGAATTATGGTATATTCCTTGTTATGGGTAATGCAGGATTTATACCATCAACCGTAGTATAGTCTCACAGGGCGACAATATTTTATACAATTTGGTTTGTGGGTAGGTTCATGCTTGTACCGGGACTATAAGGGTCTTTGCCGACCCGTTTTTGAATTTACATTGTGGCTTGACCTCTCCAGAAAAGCTACCCCTAAACCCTAAACCCTAAACCCTTCCGAGGCATCGGCTCCGACCACGTGGACCTGCAGGCAGCTTGCAACCATGGCGTCACCGTGGCAGAGGCTGGGCGGGGTCTGCTTGGGGCCAAGGTTTAGGGTTTAGGGTTTAGGGGTTTGGGGTTAAGGGAAGGTTGCTTCTAGGAGTCGGCAATAACTACTCATGTCATGCCCGCATCGTCCTTATTTTAGTTTTTGCACCAGAGGCCTATTAAAGGTAGGGCAGCGCTACGTCAAGACTCATGTGGGTTGTTGCCAGGTTTTCAGCATGGTGTTTTTCTGAGGAAGCAGGCTTTGGGGCTTAAGGCTTGCAGGAGTTAGGGTTTAACTGCAGCTTGTTATGGAGCCTCATAACCCAGAGATCCATATATGCCCTTGAATTCAGCGATAGCTGCTTCGGACTGTTTTTTTGTTGACAGGTCACCTTCTGCAATTCCATCTCCGTCGCAGAACATGTGGCATCTTGGCGTTGCAAGCTCCATTTGGCAGCAGTGGCCAGTTCAGGGTTCTCAGGGTTCTAGGGGGCGCGCTAATCTGGGTTCTTGTTAAGGGATTTAACTTGCATTACCATAATAGGGATCTACAATAATAGATAATATGGTGTCTTTATTATGGTAACATAAATGAAATCCCCTAACCACCACAATGCCAGTCTCAAAACCCCAGGCGGCGTGAAGCCACGATACACCTTTCGGAAGCCTGGACTTCATCCATAGGCTCCTAAGTTGTTGCTTTTTATGGTTCATATGTAGAATCCTATAGGGTAATCTCAAAAAGGAACTACTAAGGAGCCTATGGGTATGGAGCACTTCTTCAGGTCCCCTCCAGCGCAAGCTTAAAGAATCAGCTTCTCTGTGGAGGGGGAGTTCAAGGTGACCCCCTAAACCCTAAACCCTATAAGCCCTAAACCCCTAAACCCTAAACCCTATAAACCTATAAACCTATAAACCTATAAACCTATAAACGCTAAGCCCTGAACCCTGAACCCCAAAAACACACTGACATAGAGGGGCCCTCTGAGTAGGTGAGAGGCTTTGGGGTTTAGGGTTTGGGGGTTAGGGGCTTAGGGTCTAGGATTACGGCCGCAGACCACGCAAACAACAGTGCTTCAACACCCGCTTAAACACCCGCAAGCTCTCTGAGCTAAGCCTTTATTTCGGAGATTATGTAGAAACAGTACATACCAAAATCCCCAAGTATCTTTCAGAAACCGCCATAGATCCAGATCAGCAAGGTATGACTAGAGCCTGCCACCCCAACGCCAAAACCCTAAATCCTAAGCGTTTAAAATCGACCCTCTACTTTCGGCTATGAAAAAAACCTTCAACCCTACCAAGCCCTCCAAGGTGTAACACAACGTAACCCTTATATAGCAACGAGATACAGGTTGCTACATAGATTACTAAGATGATGCTCATCCCTAACACCTAAACCCCGGAAAACCCCACACCCTAAGCTCCAAGGAACCCCTCAAGGCCAGCAAAAATAAAGGTGCTGAAACAAGAAGAACCCCTCTTCCTATAAATTTAACCCTTATGGTACAGGTAACCCAATGCAACCCCTATATAATAGCAACGATAGACCTGTGACCCCAAACCCTGCAAAATAGTAGGTTATGACCCCTTAATTAGAGGGTAGAACCCATGAAACGGTAGGTTTATGGATCCCCAGGCAAGCATTAAAGGACCCTATAAACCCCTAAACCCTATATACTATATACCCTAAACCTTAAACCCTCTAAACCTAAACCCTATACACCCTAAACCCTATAACCCTAGAAACCCAAAGCACTAAACCCTAAACCCTAAACCCTACGCACCCTTAAAGTGTAGTAATTCAGCTACTAAGTAGGGTTACTATGAACCCCTAAACCCTATATACGATATACCCTAAACCTTAAACCCTATAAACCTAAATCCCCTTCAGGGTCACTATGAACCCTATACACCCTAAACTCTATATATCCGAAGCCTTAAACCCTATAAACCTATATCCCATTAATTAAGGGTCACTATGAACCCCCCTCAAGGTGATGCTCATCCTGAACCTCGTCCGCAACTTTGTGCCTTCGCACGACATCGCCGAGGCTGGAGGCTGGCAGGGAGGAGTACGATACATTAATCATAGATGGCTGGGTATGTAGTATATAATATGTAATATGCCTATATATTATTATGCTATGTATCGTTTCAGAGGCTGGCACATCGCGGACTGCGTCGCCAAAGCCTACGACGTGGAAGGCGGGTTTCGGGGTGTTTGTTTGCTCTCTGTGTGTGTGTGTGTCTCTGTGTCTGTGTGTTTTTGGTTTTCGGGAAGAGGGTGTCAGGTTTAGTGTTTTTTTTCAGGAATTTAGGGTTTCGCAGAGAGCCCAATACCCCTTCAATGAATTACTTCGAACACCCCGACCCTACCAGAAAGCCACTCTGCTGGAAGAAGGTGAAACGTACCGAAGCATACTTGTTGGACGTTGCACAGATAAGTGCAGGAGGGCAGGTGGCATGCGGGTTTTCTTATGATAAGAACAGTTACTTTTTGGGTTGGCACTGCGGGTATGTTCTGCTAGATTCTTTGGGGGGTGGGCACTCCAGAGTATCCGAGTGACATTCTGTCGGTGCACTCTACTGGGTTCTTGTTAATAAAGGATTTTATTTAATCTATTATAATAGAGGTCTATACAAAAGACTGGGGTTTCCTCACTATGGTAACTTAATTTAAATCCCCTAACAAGAACCCAGTCTCGGGTGTACTTCTTTATGTTGGCACTCCCGGGCGATTGACACTCCACTCTGCCGAATCTTTTGCTGGGAGGGGTACAAGAGGGTGGACAACGAGAGAAGGTTCAGGCAATATGCGGCCCAAGAAATTGCCAATACTATTTTGGGGTTTTCTACGTAGTTTGAGTAAAATGAACGCCAACATCGCATTCTAATTAGTAAGGCGCTTCTAGCCAGTATGCTATGGGGGCTAGTGAGTGCTTAGGAGTTCAGGTACTTCTGAAATTCTCCAGGATTTCGGTTTCGTGAATGCAGCAGCTTCTTAACCCGAAATGCTGCCCGCCAAAGCCCCAAGTCTCAAAACATGCGCTGTTCATGCCCTAAACCCCAAAACCCTAAGCCCCAAAACCTTAAACCCGAAAGCTCAAAGACTGCTGGAACCCTTCAGTCTACACTCAAATGCGAGAAGCGACCCTGCGCATTATTCCTATTCTAAGTTGGAAAGTCTGAAGCCAAATATTAAGTAGCATGCTCCCGGCCCCCAACCCCAACAGTTTCGGCCCGGACAGGCTGAGAAAAGCGCGAGTATGGAAGCCTGAATACTTTTCTTAAATTACTAGAGTCATACTTTCGTATACCCCCCTACGCTAATTTGCTAAGGCCCCCCAAAGGCAGGATGGTTTCCACAGCCCAGGCATGCACGTCGGCACGGTGGCTGCTGGAAGGATTGGCTTGGCGGTTCTTCGAAGGCGCGGGCAGAGTTCGCTTTTAACTTCTAGGGCTCCATAATCCCAGACCCCCCCGAAAGATCCAAAACGTACATCCCTAAAGCGGGTTCCTATAAAGTACCCTTTTGGTGGTTAGGGTCCCAAATTAGCGGATCTACTTTCTAGATCCTCCCGGGGGTCTGGGATAAGGGTTTCAGGGTTGAGGGTTTAGGCGCTGTAGAGTCGGATTCGTCTTGTGGTATTTCGGGATGAACGGTTCAGGGGGAGATTCGGGGCTTCAGCTTCTTCTTCTACTGTAGTTCCTTTTTATAGTCTATATTGAGAATCCTAGAAAGTCAGTCCAAAAAATGAACTACTTAGGGGCCTATGGGTAGACTTCAGGCTTTGCCTGGATTTCCAAGTTTTCTGCTTGAGGCTTCAGAGGTGTTGGTGGGAGTTTGGGGCATGATAAACGTACTTGACTATGAAAACCCCTTCATAGGGCTTTCAGTACGGATCCTGTTTCGGAGAAGGCTCTGCTGAAACCAAGTATTCTGAAACGGATTCCTATGTTGGGTCCGTTAGTGTAGGCCCAGATGCTTGAGAGGATCCAGACAGTAGATCCCCAAAATGGGTTCCTGTTAAGGGTACCCTTTGATAGTGTAGGGTCCAAAAAAACCGCGGGCAAGGTCTGCCAGTATAGTGCCCCCTTTTGCCCTTTGTGTTTAAGGGTCTCCTCATCAAAACCCAATGATTATAACGGCTGGGGAGCCTAGTACAGCGGTGCCGAAACCACATGGGAGCTTCCGATAATCGAGGACCCTGTAATATAAGAGAGCCTCTAAACAAGGGACCTCCTTCTCGTCACGTAATCCTACTGACATTGTCACACCGTAAAAGCCAGACTATTGGGGGCAGTATTTTCCACCACACTTCAAAAAAAAGGCTAAGCCGAATGCCCTCAACCTTCAACCCCCGAGCGTATCTCCCAATTCCACAAGCCCGTGAACAAAGGCTCAAGGCGTTCGACACCGTCCTCCACTACTACGACAAGCATCGGCTGCCCGAAAGTGCCCTTTCCAGCTGCATTGGAAGCTTGAGACGTTTACGATTATCTGTTTTCCTCACTTAGGTGTCCGCTCTTCCAGTGTCCCATGGTTTCCGAAATCTTCGGGGTTATTGCAAGCACCCTCATTGATAACAAGTCCTCGACTGTGGAGCCCTGCCTGCCCCCAAAGTCCTTATTTTATTAAGACTATACAGGAGCCCAAGCCCCGATTCTGATTACTAAGGCCCCTACATTAACTTACGGTGCCTGGTCTGCCTGCGACATTATGCAGATGATGGCTGGCTATCAGTTTAAGTCTCCCTTCTATAAATCCCCGGCCTGTTTGTGTGACTAGCGGGGGCGAAAGTAGCATGCAGCAAAAGTCTTAGCTGTTCTTAACGGGTGAAAGTTTGTCGGCAATTCCAGCTGTTGGTCGATGAGTTGAAGTCGTGTCCTTTGCAGTTGTTGATAATGACCACACCCTCAATTCTAAACCCCAGCAGGAAGGGTATCGCCGGTACCAAGGACAAAACCGTACTCCTAAACCAAAAGCCGTCCATCCTTCGCATGCAACCCTTCCCCCAAACAGTCGTGTCAGGTTGCGTCAGCTAAACCTAGACCCGTATCTAAGCCCTAATCGCCCTATCCCGCAGCCGCCGAAACTCGAAATACAGCCTAATATCATAAAGCCTTGAACCGGTCCGCCCGCCTAATCCCTGAACCCTTTCAAAACCAGTTGCACAAGGTCGAGCAAGAGCTCAACTTGACCTACCACGACTCTGTGCAGTCACTGGTCAAGGCTCGCGACCCTTGTTTACTAGGTACCGCTTTGGGGAACCTTTTGTTTCCCTTGTCGTGTAGTGTAGAACAGAACCCTGACACTGAGTAATTTTACGGGCTTTTGCAACCAACATCTTGTTGAACATTGAAAATCTAGCGCTGAGACTATGATTTTGAGCGCGGTGGTGACGGTAATCATCATCGTAACGGCAGCTGCGACAGCAATACAGGTAACCTTTCAGGTCCTGTTTCAGGACTTAAACGGTTTTCTGAAAGGCAGCAATAATGGCAACAGATGCAGGACTACTAACATCCATGACGTGTAAACAAGCAAGACAAAGAATGTGTCTACTACTATTACACCACTACTACTGTATTGATACGAATATTTCTACTACTAGTATGTACAATTTTATTTTTGTTATTTATTCAATTATGCCGAAACTGGGGGTCCGGCTCGTCTTCGTGGCTTGGAGTGAGGATGTGTAGTAGCTCTCAAGGGTAGTTCTCTAAATTAGGGTCCCTTTCTAGGTCCCCAATATAGTACGGCACCCTTATAAAGGACTCTAAAAGGGACCCTAATTTAGACAACTACCCGCATGAAGTCGTGCCTATTTAATGGTTCAGGGTTTTGAGTTTAGCGGTCGGGACCACTTTGCTCGTCGCTTTTGCTACAGACATCCCCTCCTCAATTGGAGTAGGCTTGCGACGTTGTCACCATCAATTGCCCTCTTCATCCGGAGACGGAGCAGCTCGACTGCAACCCCCTGAGGAAACATGCAGCGGCATGTCTTTTCCCACAGTTCCCTGATTGGTCTTGGTACTTAACGTAGCAACCTGATTAAGAAACCCCTGGCCCTATAACCCCAATATACTAAGATTCATATTAAGAACCCCAATAAAGACCCAGAGTTTCTTGATGGTCTTAGGACTCCTAAACCCTTAACCCCTAAAGCATTCAACCCTAAACCCTAAACCCTAAAGCCTGAACCCCTAAACCCTTAGTGCTTGTAGGGTTTCGGGATTCTGGAGCTCAAGGGGTTTTTCTCTCCTCGAATCAGCCGTCTACATCCTGAGCCCTGATCCCTAAACCCCTAAACCCCTAGACCCTAAACCCTAAGCCCTAAACCCTGATCCTGTCGAATTAGTTACATAATCAACCGAAGGCCAGCGCACTCCTCAATCTTACTGGGGGGTTATCTGTCTACCGTTTGGATATGACTGGTATTTAAACAGGGCCATAAGGGGTTGGTGAAAGCCCTAAACCCTAAACCCTCCGTTGGTAGTACTTTTTCTTGGAAGGCGTTGCTCCAGGCATTTTAGGTCTTTGGTTGGATCTTCGCAGAGGGGGAGCAAAGGAGACCCTGATAGCCCTAACAAACCTGGAAGCCCATTGGGTTTAGGGTTTGGGGCTTTTTTAGGGGGGTTTAGGGTTGTGTAGGGTTTGGTGTTGAGGACCCAGAGTTTGTTTGGGGCTTTAGGGGTTTAGGATTGAGGGTTTTAGGGCTTTTGGGGCTTTGGGGGCTTTTGGGGCTTTTGGGGTTTAGGGCTTGGTGCTTTAGGACTTACAGAGTTTAAGTACCCCAAACCGCGCATAGGTTTAAAGGTCGTGTCTGGCAGGGACTCCAACAAAAACGAGAACCCCGAAGTTCAGGAAGCTAATGTAGAGGCCTAAATTAATTACGCATATTATTTTGGGGGCTCCTTATTAAAATTATAGTAGAATATACCCCAAAACACTATTCTAATTATTAAGGCCCCTATATCATTCAATGCAAGCTTGCCATCATGATGCTTACAGCTCACTTGAGAACCAGCCCGACTCAGCTATCCCAGAATGGGAGCTGCCACTGCATGGTAAGCAGGTAACCTCATAAAACTCATAGAAACCATAGAGCACCTGCTTCCAGCATTCCTGGAGTTCTACACTTGTTTGTTTTTGGGCTTCGGGGCTTATCAGGCTTTCATTTTGAAGGATTCTTGTTCGTTGGGCTGTGTAAGGGTCTTAAGCCTTTTCGAGCTCAGGGTTTTGGGGGCCAAACATGGGACCCTCAACCTGAGGCGACTCGGTCTCATTCGGTTATTTTCGTAACCGCGAAGTAGAGGTCTATTCCGTGGCATGAACTTGCTTTGTTCCTCAAAAACCCGGGAAAAATCCGAGGTGGACGAAGCGCAGAGCTTTGATGTGGGTGAACCTGAAAACCCCTAAGCCTCGATCCCAACAAAAATGCGGCACAATCGCAATAGGCCCCTAAACCCTAAACCCTATAAACCCTACAAACCCTATAAACCCTATAAACCCTATAAACCCTAAACCCTAGCCCCTAAAATCAATAGCTGTATGATCCCAGAATAGTGGCACAATCGCAGTGGCTGTAGCTAAGAAACAGCGCCTTATGGGGCTGGACTACTCAGCCCTAATATAGGGGCCAAAAAAATTACCTATACTATTTTTTGGGGGTTCCTTATTCTATTTCTACAGTCAAAGCGGGAAAGTTGGAAGATGGTTTACCGAGATTGGTGCGTGGCGCAAGACATCTTCCAACTTTAAGTTTGGCTGTCTATGTTACATTTGTTCCAAGTTCATGCCTTCCAACTTTGGTGCACAAAATGCCGTCCCGCAGGTACTGCCGCATTCAGAAACACGCCCAACATTTTTGCTTCAAGCGCTGGCGAGATTCAGAAACAGCCGGTGGCACCGCGGAATCGCTTTCGACCAAGTACTGGCAGTTCCAGGACCCACCGTACTGCATTCAGAACCACGCCCAAAATGCCTCGCCCCAAGTACTGGCGGGATTCAGCGGAATCGCTTTCCCGCAAGTACTGGCAGTACCTAAACACAGTCATAACCATGCCCGCAATGCGTTTTCCCAACTACTGGCGGGAGTCAGAAACGACGGCGGAATCGCTTTCACCTCTTATAACACGGGCATCTCCAGAACCCACCGTACTGCATCCAGAACCACGCCGAAAATGCTTTGCCCCAAGTACTGACGGGGTTCAGAATCAATCAACGGCACGCGGGAATCGCTTTCCCCAAACCACACCCACAATTGCTTGGCCCCAAGTACTGGCGGGATTCAGAATCAATCAACGGCATGGGGGTGTCGCTTTCCCCCAAGTACTGGCGGTTCCTGGACAGACGGGATGCAGGGTTGCGGGGCGCTGTGAGGAAAGAAATACCGTGTTTGCCAAGGGGAGTAAACTTGGAAGATCGCAATAGGAGGCTTGCTCCTTTTGGAGACTATGCGGGTGCCGGACTGCCCAGAACGGAAAGTTGGAAGATTCGGTTTCAGGACCAAGCGTGCCGGAACGCACTTTCCAACTTTCCGGCTTTGACCATAGTCTAACTCACCCCGAAACCCTATTCTACTCATAAAGGCCCCTATGTTAACTCAGATGCCTCAGGAACCTCTTCAATGCAGAGATGATCTACTCGATGAAGCGCGGGGCATACCTGATCAACACCGCTCGGGGCAAGATCTGTGATGCAGAGGCTGTCAAGAAAGCATGCGAGGACACGACGGCCCGGGGGTTTGGGGAAGGGGAGGGGGGCTTGGAGAATTAGGTGTTACTGATCTCCGTAGACATATCGGGATGCATTGGGGGTCTACCTGGGCATCGAGAAGGGGGCGGTACGTGGTACGTGTCTGGTAGCTGTCAGCAATGCCCTAAAACCCTAAGTCTACTCTTAGGCTCCTTCGCAGTTCCTTTTGGGAGTACCTTATAGGATTCTAGATATAAACCACAAAAAAGGAACTACTTAGGAGCCTATGGGTAGACTCTGTCCTCAACAAAGCTCTCACTGCTTGGGGTCCGAGACCCGCACTTCTCGACCCGAAGCCAGAAGGGTTTAGGGTTTAAGCCGTCTCAGCCGCCATCACGAACCCCCTTTTGAGAACTTCTGCCCTACTGAAACCGACCAAGGAATTTGGTTTAGGGTTTAGGGTATAGGGTTTAGGGTTTAGGGTATATAGGATTTGGGATTAGGGTTTAGGTAAGTCGGTGCAACATCAGCAATGACGCGGGCTAGACGTATCCTAATGTGGGTTGGCCCAGCTGATAGCCGGTTACCCAAAAACATAAACCCTAAACCCTAAACCCGAAACTTCCTAAACTTCCTAAACTTCCTAAACCCTAAACCCTAAACCCAAACTATATTGCGAGTGCCCTGAGCCTCCAAGCTGAAGCCTTAGCAGTTCATATAGGGTAATTATTAGTGAATTAGAATAGGGTATTGGGGCCATAATAAGGTACTCCCAAATAGTATAGGTAATTATCTTGGATCTTCTGGAAGAGCATGTCTAAACACGAAGAACCGCTGCGAAAGGACAAGATTGCTGACAGTTGGAAACAACCACATCAGAGGTCTTCTTGGGTGCCGAGCTGTCAGGTAAACCCCTAACCGCACGGCTTGCGTTTTCCATCGAGTTTCTGAGGCAATAACTTACCCTATGCTTCCAAGGACCTTACAGTTAGGGCCCAGGCCCCTAAACCCTAAAACCCTAAAGCCCTAAACCCAAACCCTAAACCCTAAACCCGGACCCAACAATAAGGTCCCTGGAAGCACAGGGTTACAGAAGCTTGTGAAGCAGGAAGGCCACTTGGCGGGCTATGCTGGCGACGTCTGGTTCCCGCAGCCGGCACCGGCGGACCACCCATGGCGCGGGATGAAGGCGGTCAGGGTCGCTGCATGTAGGGTGTAGGGTTTAGGGTTTTAGGGTTTTAGGGTTCAGGGTTTAGGGGCGAAGCTGACTTTTTGGTCCAACATATGAAGGAACATCCAACTCCTGAAAGGATCACTTGGGGATGCTGTTGTGAGGGTCAAACATCAACATGTTGAACCCTCCATGGGCCCCCTTCATATTGACAAACCCGATCCCCATAGCGTGTTCTGCCTATCTTGGAGCCTATAAGGCCCCTGACAGCGCATAAGAACCTGCACAACCTCACAAAGCCCAGCCCGCGCAGGCGAATGCAATGACACCCCATGTCTCCGGAACGACTCTCTCGGCCCAGGCGATCTAGGAAAGTCTTGTAGCCTCGGGGTTCGGTAATTTCGGGGCTGGGGCTTTCGGGATTTAGGTTGCAGGAGTCGGCGTTTCGGGCTTGTGGTAGTCGAAAGGTTTGTTTTTGGATTTGTGCTGAGGGCGTTATGCTTGGGGCGTCATGGTCCTACGTAAGTTGACAGGGTTTGTGGGATGTAGGGAAGGAATACTAGGAATCCTTGCTAGGGCTTCTGGGCTTATAACGTACCATACCAAACTATATTATACTATAACATAACATTTGTGTAGTATAGCATGCTATCGTATGATATACTAAGAAGCGGGCTACATTCGTTTGAGGTTTGCACTTGTTTGGAGCCCTGTCAGATCATCCCTGCAATATCCTCCCATCTCCCAGATTATAATGTGGGGCCTTAAGAAGTTGAGTAAAGGTTTTGTTTGCATATTGCATTCTAATTCTGCTGAGGATTCGCCGAAAGTGATATCGATGATTATTGCAGCCCCTGTATGATATCCGGAGTTGAGGGTGTAGGGCCACTTTCAAAGGCAATCTCAAGCACACGCTCATCTTTGCGAAGCTAACCTCTGCGAAGCTTTCCCAGCCTTCATAAATCGCTTCATGGCTTTAGGTTGTACTATAATATAAAGCACTGTGTAGCACACGTGTGTGTGCGAAGTGACAACCGTTTGCTTCCATCGAATTACACATCGGATTGCAAGTGGATCTGCAGAATCCGAGTGAATGCGGACTGGTTGTATACATCCGTGGCCTTTTGGCTTAAGATCCTTTAATTTGTTTTCTTCTCCCACCCTCCCTAACCCCTTTGTTTCACAGAGTTTCCTTTGCTTTCTTTCTGCGAGAACCGACCGGGAAACGGTCGGTCCCCCAGAACATCGATAAACTATTTCTGTAAGAAATGGTACACATCGATGAAAAAGGATGCGACTCCGATGGAGTCGAATCGCAGAAACGCCGCCGAAGTGAAAGCAGTTGGAAAAGTCCGATCGTCAGGGATCTATGCGTTTGTTGTCATAATTGACTATAATATACTATGGTAGTATACTATAGTATACCATAATATACTATAGCCTATTATAAATATGCCATAATATGCTTTGCTTTTTGAAGCATGCCTGAAAGAAACATTTTACCCATGGAGCTGAGCCATAAAGACGCGGCAACCATCTGTACAGGTTGCGCCATAGCATGGTCTATGTCTTTCCTATTTAAATGGCACATACGGCGCTGTCCGTGTGCTCCTATCTCTATGATGTTATTGGGGCTGGAGTAGACTATGATCATGCACAGCCTGCTCAGGCTCCCGTCCTCCTACGTATAGCGACTTCATTTAATTTCGGTTCCCTGGCGTCTACAAAACAAATCCAAAGGATCGCAGACGGGTGGGGTGAAGGATGTTAAGCCCACAAGAAGAGTCGAGTCCTTGTATACGGGATCTTGAATCCTACCTACCTTGAAGCCACCTCTTGAGGTCTCCAGTGAAACCCTCAACTAAACCCCGGAGCCCAAACCCCAAACCCAGAAGCAAAAGCATTCTTGGCTCGAGAGAGGCGCGCTATGCTGCTGGTGTACGCGAAATCCTGGACCTGCCGGGATCAAGCGTTCGGAGTCGCTGACATAGCCCCTTCTAAGCCTTAGCAGCTGAATGAGTACACTTTAAACTTTTAGGGACAATATGATCCCTTATTGATTCGAAAGTATACACTTTTTTGTGCTTCTGAACTCAGCAACAAAGAGCCTATAAGATAATCACGAGAACATGCCCACAAGCCCTCTTAAGCAAGACTGCGGCTTGAGGGTTTGAGTTCAGATTGATGGGGGCCCAATGCCAGGAGCTTCGAGGCCAGGTAGGGAGACTGTTACAGAACCCCAAATGAGTACCAATGGTACTTTTCGGGTTCCTTACTATGACTGTACTTTAAGCGAGCCCAGAAAGCCCAGAACACGATTATAACTATTAAGGCCCCGACATTACCATGGCATGGTGCAACTTAACAGCCATGTCGCCTGAAGCTCCAGAATGCAAAACTGCCCCGTGACGGAAAGTACCCACATTAGATTATGAGACCTGCTACAGGCACCTTTAGCCGAAAAACAACACAAGCGCACAGAAAACTGTATGCATCGATGTGTGCACATCCTTTGACGATGCAGAGGCAAGGCCAAGTCTTAAACGTCAAAGCCAAACCATTCGTGAATCTGCTCTCCGCGTTTAAACTTCAAGGCGGACGGACAGCAAAGAAGACAGAGCTTGGGGGTTGTGGGGAAGAGCTGGTTCAATCGCAAGTTTCCATGGATGCAATTTACCTCTGAAATGTCACAACACCCAGAAAAATCCACCTCCAGATTTCACGTGCTGTGGGACTTCTTTCTCTCCTTTTGCTGATGCCGGTACAGCCCCCAGACCAGCGCTGCCGCTTGCAGCCAGATCAGGGTGGCACCTGGCGCTTCCTGTGCTGAGGTTGTTGCCCTCGTGCAACAGTTAATTCGGAAAGGAGTGATCTCTCTCCAGGTTTTCGCACGCCGGGGTGGATTAGATCCAGCACCGGTTGGTGCTCTTCCTCACCGTGATGGAAAGCTGACGCTCAGGCCAGCTGGTGTGTGCCTGGAATAAGTGGGCTGGGCTACTGCTTCTTCTCCAGATGCTTCCCGCCCTTCACCCCTGGCTCTGCGGCAGTTGGCTCGCAGCAGGCTGCTGCGTCAACACTGGCCACACCTCGAGGTAGACTTTCGCGGTAGTCTGCACAGAAGGTGAAGGTTTCCGGATGGCATGGACCAGCTTGAAGCGCTAGCTCTGTAGATAGGAAATCGTCTAGTATTCCCTCATAGCTCCTCTACATGTTCATCCAATATACCCCGAAACTTTCTTCTTATTTAAAACCCTTATCGCGCATCCATAAACCCTAAACCCAGGCGAAGCCTTGATAGAACCCTTCACCAATGGACACTGCTTGGGACTGCATGTTGGCTTCAGGTTTTTGGGTTTAGGGTCAAGGATAGCAAAAGTGATTTACGGTTGAGGGTATCGGCACTTCAGGGCTAACACCCCTTAAGTACGGAATATACCTTGAAGCATGATAGAAAGCCGCGGACTGAATCCATGTACCTTGAGTAAGGGGTGTTGGGCTCTTTGGGAAATTGCGAAGCCCGAAAACGCGAGAGGTCCTAAACTCCTCCCCGTTGATCTTCAATAAAGACGCCCAATTCCCGTTGCCACACCCTCCCTTGTGGAACTGGGTTGTTGTTAAGGGATTTAATTTAAGTTGCCCAAAAAGGGATCTATAGTAAAAAAAAGGGTTTCCCTATTATGGTAACTTATATTAAATCCAACCCAGATTATGTCTTGGAACATTCTGGTGTCCCGATACTCCAGTTGCAACTGCACTATGTCTACGTCACGAATCAAACCCTGCTCGAAGGATTTTCTGCGGCTTTGTTGTCGCAACGTTAAACCCATAAACCTCAGTGTTTTGGTCCCAACCGTTGGGCGTGGGGTCTCATGGCAAAGCCGCAGGAATGTTTCTTCGATGAGATGCTTGGCGGCACCCAGATGTCCCCAAAACCCCGACCCTAAACTCCTGCAGCCTGAACACTAAGAGGATCAAATCAACGAACGTTATTCAAAGGCTTTAAGGGACCAACTAGTCTTGTACCGCCGCAGACCTAATTCTTTAAAGCTCTAAAGAGCACCAATCCATGCCCGAAGTTCGAAATCCTAGACCATGATGCTCAAAGCCCGGAATCCACCCCCCACTCGGAATCTTGAAGCATCTGAAAAGGAATTCTGCTACGAATCACTCCAGGCCCCTCCATCCCTACGGTGCGGACCACTATGCCAACTATGCCTGCAAAACCAGACTCTCACCAGCTCCAGCCCGAGCCCGAGCCGGCCATGGCCGTCAACCAGCGCAACACGACAGAGAATGACACGGGTCATCCCCTCGCAAACCATGCAATCAACGGTGAAGACCCTGAGCATGTTCATCGAAATATAAATGGTAAGGAACAGACCCATACATCGAAAACCCGAGGAGTCGTGATAGACTTGGCAGCAGTAGTACACTAGCTGCCGAAGATGATGGACATCCCGGAGGAGAGTAGTCATGACCAGACTTGTTATTGACTTCTTGTCAGAAGCAGTGGCCCCACCCACCACGGCCGACCAACACGAGCATGACCACATAGTAACTTTGCACACGCCCCGGTCGTAAACACCATCATGATGAAGCCTGTGTCGTCTTCACCATCATTCTCAACTTAGTCGTCAGTGTCTTCACATCATCACCGTCATCCGTCCCATCATCAATCTCATCGTAATCATTGTCTTTTCTTCTTCATCACCATTGCCATGCTTCTTTCGAGGAGGCCAATCCGCGACGAGTACCTGATCGTGCACAAGGGACAGCTTGCGGGAACGGGAAAGCACAGTGGCTTGCCCTGATTACAGCGCCATTGCCACTGTGCCTGTTGCACTGATGGCTGCTGCAAGCTTTCTTTACTGCTTGCACTGGGTGCCACTTGTTCCAAGTGCCATCGTTTAGAATATCGCCAACAAGATGGTAGCCACCATGTCATTATGACCATGACTGACGAACTTCCTGTACTGCCAGCACCTTCACTTCAGCATCATGAATAATGTAGGGACCGAAATAATTACCAATACTTCTTTGGGGGTTTCCTTAGTATGATTATCCTCATAGTGTAGCATATCGAATTGTGAAGGCCCCCCTATAGTATCCTGTTTCGACCCTGGCATCTTGTTGCTGAACGCCTTCGGAGATGCGGTTGGCTCAGTAGTTCCCCTTGGAAGCCAAGCTTATGGCTGGAATGTTCGGTCTTAGGGGTGGTGCACATGGTGGGCGCTGTTTGTTTCTTGCTGCTCTGCTTGCATGAGCCGATGAGGATGGCCACTTCACCACTAGCTTGTTTCCTTACCCGAATCAAGCCGGATCCATATCTAAAACCCCGCCACTCCAAAGTACACCCTCAACCCGAAGCCTGCAAGTCTAAACTCAACCCCATCCTAAACTCAAGCCCCGTGCAACCTAAGACCAAATTCGTAAAGCATTTCGCAGGCCTTTTAAGGTCACTATAGTCGTTAGGGTTTCCAAAGCTTCGGTGTAAATGCAGGGCTCACGAAAGCCCCCAGAAGCCTTATGGATGCTTGTGAATTATGCTTGAAGCTTTGAGCTTAGCTCCACAGCCCGAACGTATCCTCCGGAAGCAAAGGTTACACTGAAGGCAATACGACGAAGGGCTCCGAGGACGTTGCGAAGTTCAAGGGCCTCGAGGCGGGGTGTGGAGACATAAAGAGAAACCCTATAGACCCTAAACCCGAAACCCCCCCAAAAAAAATAAACTGCAAGGACACAAAGCCCGAAGGATGCAGTGTAGTTGTGGGAGTCATAATTGGCTTCTTGAGGATCTATTGCTGAATGGTTTAGGGTTTGTAGTGATGTACCAAAAGCTTGTCCCCGAAGACGCCAAACTGGCTTTTCGGATGAGAAACCCTTCATGCGATGAGAATTTATTGCCGTTAAAAGGATTCCCCAACTGGCCGCCGCGGACACCCTTTGAACGTACCCCAAAACCGAAAGCTTGTGTCCTCAATCCTACGCGTTTACGTCCGAAGTTCATTCCCTCTTAGCCCAAATCGAGCTCGCGATGCACTGAGCTTGCGACCGCTGGTCAGGTTTGCCGACTTACTTGCATTTGGATCGGATTCTGGTTATCTTGACGAAGCGGGGTTGGGTTAGAGAACATGGGTCGTTTAAGGAGTTTCGATGGCGCTTTACATGTCACCGGTGACGTGAACCGGACAGCTCATCCAGAGACTCCAAAGTCAGTTCTTAAGACTGTATCTATATCTATATCTATATCTATATCTATATCTATATATAGATACAGATATATATATATATGTATACACATATACATGGTGCAATCTGTTGATTTGAGACGTTTCCTTAGATCGAAGTGCATTGAATTTTCTGACAGGATGTCAACACCCGCCCTGCGAAGCTGCAACGGGTGTCTACCGGTGGCTGCTGAGTGGACGGCTTTTGGCGGCACTAAAGATGCACCAAACTCAGTTTCAACTGTACAGCTGACGAGTCCGACCAATAACGTGCCGGACAGTCTGAAAGCATTTAAATAGCTTTTGAGGGTTCCATTTACTTGTGGGAACTTGTGAGATCTGCAGCGTGCATGCCGTGTGGCCAACACTTTAGATGCCACCTTGTAGGCAGCCTACCAATTGAAGAGCTGCAGGAGCGAAAGGCCGGCGAGGAGCAGTGTGCGCGAGAGCGGGAGAGAGAGAGAGAGAGAGACAGAGAGAGAGAAAGAGAAGGATCCTCCGAAAAGGAAAAATTTCGACCGTTTCGATCTTCATGACAACAGCTGTGCCGTCGGGAATAGAGTACCTACCATATGAGTAGCACAACACCTATAGTACTTGCGACAGCATTGAGACTGTTTGTGATGATCAGCAGGCTCGGTATTCTGATTACCCGATTTCACTGTTTTCTGTTGTTGCTATCAAGTGTCTGGTTGTCATTGAAATTGTTGCAATTGTTGCTCGATCTCTTCATCCTCGTGCACCTCTGGCCTGAATGCATGACACAAGACGCGATGCCAATGGGTCACATGATACGGTCTGCACCAAGAGTATGCTGAGCGTGATGGGCGTCGTGGCTGTGCTGAACATGAGCCGCTTCGGTTCACAGCGTTCTCTCCAATTTAAGGGGCTGCGCCCAGAGTCCCAAATCGTCTCAGGAAGAGACTCCGGACCGCAGTAGCGCACCAGGAGACCAAGAGACCACGGGGCAACTACCGGGAGACCACCACGACATTACCAGAGAAGACTCCGGACCGCCGGCAGAACCCAGGAGACCGCCCGAAGACCACGACAAGACTACCAAGACACCGCATCACGGAGAGACGAAAGGCTTCCGGCCCACGTGCTGGCGGATTTCATGACCCATGCGCAGACAGTTGGACGGTTTGCCTAGGAAGGGTAACGGTACCCCAGGGAGAAACGTCCTTTCCTCTCATTCCTGCGGGGTCGGCGGCTTGAGCCGGAGGCTCTAAATCGAGCAACGCCCGCTCCGGAGGCCATGGCCATGCATGGCTTTAGCCCTGGAGCGGGAGGCGATGCCGCCGACCCCTGCATCATGGGACCTTCGTTTCTCCGTCGGGCCGCGCGGATACCCGGCAATGCACACGTTTTGCGGCCATTCCCCACAGTATGGCCTGTTTTGGGGCACCCGCGGGCGGGCGACACCGGGGCGGCACCCGGCGAGCATCATGAGCACCCGGCGCGCGCTTGCAGCGGCTCATCAGGCGGAAGGCCTCAAATTGGTGCCCAGCACGCGCAATGATGCTGGCCACGGAAGCGGCAGGGGGAGGGACCAAGCGCGCGCGCGCTCGCATGAGGCCGAGGCGAGCGCGCTCGCATGAGGCCGAGGCCTTTCCGAATGATTTGGTCCGAAGGCCTCGGGCACCAGTGCAACGGTGGACGTTGGACTTTGCAAAGGGCATTGCGCGAACGTCAAAATGCATTCGCGCCTTGTCTGGCATGTTTTTGCGTATGCAAGAACCATTGCCAACATGCTTCTCATCTGTGTTTGGTGGTTTCGAGGCTTGTCATCACGGCCAAAATGTTTGCCCCCTTGTCTGGCATGTTTTTGTACAGAGGCACGTATATAGACAGTGTACATAATGGCTCAAACCCTCTCCCCACTCCCACCTGACCCGGGTTTGTAGGGTTGCGGTTGCCGTGTGGGGGTGGTTTCGTTTCAGGGCAGCTTAGGGTGTAGGATATACCTGCCCCGCCCCGAAGGGGGAAGCCAGGCATAGGGTT